AGAGAGAGAGAGAGAGAGAGAGAGAGAGAGAGAGAGAGAGAGAGAGAGAGAGATCAATTTTCCCGAGGAAACGCGAAGACAAAAGCAATGCACGCCAATCAAAGCACACGCATGTTACGTGTAGACAGCTCCGAACGACACGTGTGCGAGCCATAAGAACCCACCTTTGTCAACGGGTCCGAACGACTATATTTCGCAACGGTCCAACACGAGAAAAGGTCTACACAACTGAAACAGTACCGACACCGCAGTACTACCCTGGCCGCACATTGAACCTCACTAGAAGGTGAGGGGCTCGCCTCTGCCACGTGAGCGAAACCATGTGCTCACCTGCAGCACCAGCTTTGCTCTAAACACCAACACCGAGGCGGCGAGAACCGACAAGAGATCGAGGGAGTCGTACCCCAGCAGTCTATCCCACAGCAGCAGCACCTGCGTTCGTTCACGTAAGCAACCACCGCAAGGGCAGTGGTAGTCGGTGCACTCAGGGAAGTGCATACTTGTTGTTTCGCACGTTCATTTCCTATCCCATCCACGGTCGGGAGAGCGATCGTTTCTCTCCCGACGCCTCGCCTCCATGATCAGGGTCTTCACTGTGGTGAGCCGGACAAAATCACCCAAGAGTAGCAAAATCGACGGCAAAACCTGGAGCATGGGGTGTTTGCTACAGCTCGTACTACACCGTGTGCATCGTTTCACCCACCGCTATCATTTATTGGGTATTTCACGCCTACGATGATGTGCAACAGCTGGGAGTGGGTAGGGCGTACTGAAGAGCCTTAACACTGGTCTCTAGTTCGGCCGTGTTTTCATGCGGTTGCTCATACACGGATGGAAAGCTGATCCACGTGCACTCGTGCATGACGGAACGAAACAAAGCTCTCGATACGTCCATAATATCAATTGGCGCCCCCTTTCACCCTCTCGACTGTCGGGAAATGTCGTGTGACGCGGATACAAAAGAGTGATGTCTGGTCCGGGTATATATGATGGTCAAGGTTTCACGGAGCCGGCCGTGTCCGCCAAGTCCGAACTACTAACGGATACAATTTTTCTCGAGAAGCTCGTAGTAATCATAAGAACAACCTATAAGATCAAAACATTCCTTCGTCATTGGGGGCACGCGGCGGCGCAATAACAAGGTCACAGGGCGAAGAGCTACACGCTGTGGTGCATAAGCTTGCCTGGTCTGCCTCCAGGTAGGTCACGAAGCCGAACTGTATCCAGGGCATGGCCAGCTGCAGCGGCTGCACGCCCAGCTGCAGCAGCTTCCGCACGAGCCGCGGGTGGTGCCGCTGCACCAGAGACTGGACACACGCAGCCACCGAGGTCACACGAGGTTAGAGACGGACATGTTGAACCGAAAGAGCGAAACGACGACAACCGGCTCACTATCGGAAGGAGGGAACATCGCAGGGGAGGGGAAGGCACGCACACCAACGTGGCCTGTGACGATGGGAAACAATCAGCGGAGGACACAAAACATTTTTCATGGGTGCATACGGGCAGGGAAAGTGGGAGCAATTGCCGCCTCGCCATCGCCATCTGCGATAAAACGTACTCGAAGTCACGTATTTCTCTACGCTGCACTGCTGAATACCCTCGTTTGTACGCATCGCTAGCCAGGAGGCGTTTATTCTTCGAGCGCCGACCTGAAATGAAACGCTTAGATAAAGAACACCGCAACACCCTGTCTGTCCTCGAACTTCGTCCTGGCCAAAAAGTCAGGACACTGAGACCGCAATGTTTTCCCGACAAAAGCAAAAGAAGGCCGGCTGAAGGACTAGGATGGCTCGCGGAACATCGTACAACAAGTTCCGAATTCAACACACATCCACGTATGTGTTCTTGATTTGTTTTTGACTACACTCGGGAAAACAGCTCGAGCAGGCAGCAATGTAGCGGCAGATATACCCCCATTCCATACACACGGCATGGCGCTTTGCCAATAATCTCAGGACAGGCAAGAACCGGTCGCCGATCCCGATTCAACACACAACCACGTATGCATCCTTGATTTGTATTGACTACACTCGGGAAAACAGCTTGCGCAGGCAGCAATGCAGCGGCGGATATACCCCCATTCCATGCACACAGCATGGCGCTATGCCAACTTATCTTAGGACAGACAAGAACGGGTCGCCGGTCACGGCGTACTAATTATCAAACACCGAGGTGTCGGCGTAGTTGTAGCTAACCCTGCCAGGCTAGGCGTGAAGTTCGTTTTGTTCCGCGAAGGTCGAGCATCAGCCACTTCTGTGGAACTCATGCACCAGTGCGCCGCCAAGGCCAACCCGACGCTCTCGTAAAATTTTCAGCACCTCGGCCTGACTTTCGCGCAACAGACTTTCGTGAATCGGCTGATACGTACAATTGTTGTCCAACCGACATCAAAAGAGAAAGATTGCAGCTACGTTCGTTCTTCATAGGCAGTGAACGCGAGATGAGACAAGGAGAGATATGACATTTTACACACCCACCTCGAAGAGCTTGAGCAGGCGGAGCAGCATGCCGGGGCCGGAGCGCACGGCGTTCAGCCTGCACCAGAACCTGGCGAACATGGTCCTGAGGGTGAAATATACGGCCTCCCTCTCTTCGAACAAGAAGCACAGTACTGCCGCGTAGTTCACGAGCCCCCGAAATGGCTTTTGGGGGGAAGGGCGGGTGAAATAACGAAATAACAGCGGGGG